GATGAGGGCGACGAAGCGCCCGTCTCGCTGACTCGGCGAGCCCGCGGCTCTTTCGTGCCAAAACCACTCGCCCCGGTGCCCCCGGCACCCCCAGTGCGCCGGGTTCGGCCTGGGTCCGCCGGCGCTGATTTCGGCCCAAGCCGATGAAAAACGGGCTCCTGGGGGCGCGACTGGGCCTTTTTTCGGCGCCGACGCGAAAAAATCGCCTGGGAAGGCCGTGTTGGGGGCGCGGCTGGAGATGCTCTCAGTTACAATTATAATTGCGCCGAACATCTTCATCTTGTCCCCCCTCCATAAATGAAGTATCAACAAAATTAATGTTTGTCTCATTACCCTAAGAAATTTGTGTTTTGTACGCGCAGGAAGTCTTTCAAAATTGAATGGCCAAAGTTTATTACAAAATTCTATTTAGGGAAGTAGGTTGGTCTTAATTACCGGCAGAGAAAGTGTCATTAACTTAATCTTGTGTACTAAAAGCATCAATCTACTACAATCTTTAATGGATGGCTTATGTAAACTGTCTGTGCCTACTCCCCGCAAAAGAAAACATGTTTTTGGCGCCCTTGTGAATTGCTGAGCGCATGGCCAAAACTGTGACTGTGAGAGTTATTGATTTGCTTAATTCAATGTGCCAAAGGAATGATCTCCCATACCTCAAAATAAACCTAACTAACTGTAGTGCTCATGAGTTTTTTTAGGCGAGTAGTGCTCATGAGTTTTAGACCTTGGTGTCATACTTGCCACATGCTTTTGTTCCTTTTTTGTTGTGCATATTGGGCTCTATATATACAGTCTCAAATTTTGCCATAGATGTTTGCACTATCTGTTTAGCTTTTTGATTGCGTACTTGGAAATCATAATTAATGCAATTTTTATCTACCATGCACCATTTCGGTGAGATACTATCGTATGTACAACAACTTTGTAGTTATGGCACCAGTTGAGATGTTAGAAGAAACTGACCACCTCGTATACTCTTTTTGGGCTCATGATTTTAGGCTTTAAAAGGGTTTTCAAAACTTTACGGTAGAAGGCGATTCCGTCTTTTAGTTT